AAATGTTGTTGTTTGGCGTTCTGCCACTGTTCTGAACAAAGGTGCCAGAGAGTTGATGTAGATTGAGTACAGATGAGAACTCAGGACTGATCCTTGAAGGACACCTGTCACTGGCAAAAATGGACGTGATTCATAGTTTTTCAGTATCACTGTCACAGAAACAGCATCAAAGAGATGAACTAGAAGGGCCAGAAGTGGTGGTGGTGTGTTTCTTTGCTTGAGTGCATGCCAGATGACTCTACAATCCACTGTATCATAGGCAGCCTTGATGTCTAGATAGGCAACCACTGGATAGTGTTTGTGCCTCTTGTAGTAAGCCTTGATCAGGTCATGCAAGCACAATGCCTGGTCTAATGCTCCACGTCTTGGTCTAAATCCACCCTGAGCAACATCCAGTGGTGGTGAGTGTTTGTGCAGCAAGGATGAGAGACACATCTCAAAAAGCTTTCTAAGAACAGAAGTGAGTGATATAGGCCTGTAATTGGCAGCATCTTCTGGGTCACCCTTTTTGTAGATTGGAAAAACCTGAGCATAATGCCAGTGATAAGGCACAGTAGACCATTGCCAACACAAGGTAAAGAACTGGGAAAGAAGCTGGGATATTACTGGCCTAAGAGGCTTGAGCATTTCTGCTTTGAGATGGTCTGCTCCAGGTGCTTTTCTGTTGGGTAGATGTCCAATGATCATGGTCACAATCTCCCTAGAGAATGGTGAGTCAAGTGCTGGGAATGAATGGACATCATTGAGTGGTGGTGGTGGTGGTGGTCTGACTGATGGAAGGATGCATCCACTGTACACTTCTGCCAAATGTCTGCTCATAGCCTCTGCTGCTGCTTTATCACCCTCATCATGCTGAAAGCTTTGCTGGGGCTGGCAACATCTTTTGATCTGCTTCACTTTTGATGTTGCTTTTGTGAAGTCCTTTTCCATACTCCTACAAAAGGTCTGCCATTGCTGTTGTTTTGCTCTTTGCACTTTACTTCTGAATGCTTTTTGGGCATCACCATGCTTCTGCCACCAGAGCAACTTGTCAAGGCCATCAGAACAATGCCATTTCTTATAGTAGTGGTCCCTGAGCTCTACTGTTGACTGCAGAGAACTATTCCAGAACTTCTTCCAGTGGGATGGCCTTGCTGATTTCCTGCAAACAGAATCATCCAGGGCACTGTAAACACAGCTATTGAACTGTTCATTGAGAGTGTCAAGGTCTGGGCATGATGGTGGAGGCTCTGCTACAAGTGATGTTAATCTAGAAGACAGATCATGTGTGAATAATCTGAACTTTTGTAAATACAGCCTTGCAATATCAGGCTCTTTCAAGCAAGACAAGTTCCATGTCTTTCTCAGAGGTGGTGGTAGTGGTGGGAATTCAGCCATGACATAGTCAAAAGCAAAGTGGATAAGCTTATGATCAGAACTGAGAGACAGCTCTGTCTGTATATCCATGGTGACATTGGTGAACTGGCAATTGGAGATAAACATGTCAATGATACTGCTGTGCTGTTGGTTGTTTCAATATGTGAGGTAGGTTGGCATACCATATGCATGCATACTGTTATAGAGATGAAGATTTTGATCTTCTAGCCATGATCCCAGAGCAGTACCATGAGTGTTAGTAGAATGATCTCCTACTAGTACACCCATTCTTGCATTGAGGTTGCCACAGATAATGGTGTCTTCTGTCAAAAGAATGGAGTCCAGAATACCAAAAGCTTCTTCAAGAGATAGAGAGGGGGGAAGGTAGAGACATACAATTTTGAGTGATCCAACTTGGACACTCAGGGCATAGGGAGAAGGCATAGGTAGGTGAGTGACAGGGAAAGGATAGGAGGGAGAGATGAGGGCACATATACCCATAGAGCCACAGTAATTTACAGCAACTGGTAGGCCATACATGTGGAACTGGGTCCAGGAGGTTGGGAGGCATGAAGGAGAGAGAAGCCAGGTTTCTATAATGAAAAGCATATGAAATGAGTGTGAGTGTCTTAAAATATCATGGATCATAGTGTGGTGGAGCCCATTGGCATTCCATAAGCCTAATGAGACTCTATTCATAAGGTGATGTCTTGTGAGGGTTCATCTATGTTCATATCTTCATATGGACACTTGAATGCAGTTTTTGGATCATCCCTGTCTTCATACACTTTTCTCTTGTGGGGATTCTCAGGAATCTGGGACTCACTAATCCAACCCATCTCAGCAAAGATGGTGGCTACAGAGTGTGCAGTGTGGGGTCTCATATATTCAATGGCCTGCAGGCATCTTTTCTGGTGGATATGCATAGCTTTCAGTGAGAGGTCTTCCTTTGAGAAGTCCTTGTACTTGGGGTCTGCCAAGTGTTTTGGGTCTCTGGGGTCAAAGTCCTTGTAGATAGTAACACTAGCCTTCTCCAAGAGGGCTGTTACATCTGGTACATACTGTAGGTGAACAAGAAGACCAATGACTGATCTTGCTGGGAAGGAGACATCCAGGATACATCCAGTGTCAAAGCCAAGGGTTCTGAGAAGCTTATGCACTTCTGGACAGTTCATTCATCTGCTACGTGGAATATACACATAAGTGTATCCTTTTTCACCTTCCTGGATGGTGAAGGCACGTGAAGCAGCTGCAACATGTCTTGCTGATGTCTGGGGGCATTTGGAGGGTGCTGGGATGTGTTTCTTGGCCACTGTGGCCCAAGAAGAGTTCTTTACTGTTGGCAGAGAATGGCCTGTGTCAATTTCTCTGCTCTGTATCACTTTAGAAGTGAAAGTTGCTGGTGCTGCTGTTGATGGTGCCTTGAGTGCACTTATCTCAGCCTGTAAGGCTGTGATGGTTGCCTTGAGCCTCATATTCTCTTCCATGATGGCTTCAAATGCCTCCAGTCTTTGCTGCTGCTATTGCTTCTGTTCATGTTGCTGGTGTTGCTGCTGCTTTAACTGAGCTATTTCTGAGCTCAGAGATTGAAGGGCCGAAATGATCTCAGCCTGGGTTGAAGCATTAAGCTGTTGTTCAGCAGAATTGGCAAACATGGTGTATCTACTGCTATTCAAGTGGTGTTGACCTGAAACTTGGACAGTAGGTGGGGAGGTGGGTGATGTTGGTGGATGGATTGTGTTTTTTGATAGATGCAGCGTTTTGATGATGGATGGATGATTTTCAAATTTGGATAGACTTACAATTTTTTTAAAAGAAAAATTATCTCTTAGCAGAAAGAGAAATGGACTTATAGCTCAGCGGTAGAGCGTGGGATTGCAGATCCTAAGGTCCCGTGTTCAAATCACGGTGGGTCCTTCACTTTTACTTTTTTTTAAGTTTGAGCCTTTTAGGCCAGATGTATTTTACAATTAAAATATTTATTTATCTGTGGTATAGCTAACAACACAAGGAAAACAGTATATAAAAACCACATTATTTGAACATTCAATAAAACATCAACCTTTTTGTTAACATTAAGTATTGTTGGAACTATTGAGAGAAGTAAGGATTGCTTAAAGAATAGTTGCCCAGTTACCAGTTGAGTCCCTGGTCCTGTACCTCTTAGATTCTCTTTTGCCAGACTTTGTGTCAAAACTCTATTTTTTTGTCCCTGCTAGAGAGCAAACTGTTGTGTTCTGACTTCAATCCAAAGATTCTCTATGAATAGGTCAACACAAGTAGTGTGCTGTGACATTCAGAATACTCTATGAAAGCTTGAGTGCACACAAGTACCATAGTACATCTCTGTATCATCTCACTGATTGGTTGTAACTACAAATCAACCTTCTAAGCTCAAATTATTATTGGACACTTAATGAGCTGCCTTCATCTATAAATCCTTAGTGAATTAAATAAGACCTATCAAAGGCAATTAAAGTGAAGACATATACTTGATGGCTCTATAATAGTGTGCTTATTCAATGAACCAACCATAAGGCTTCACCTATGTAAACTAATATAGGATAGATCATCTACACCAACCAGACAGTTGCATCTATCAATAAGCTAGGCCATGAACTGATCATTAACTACCAAAAGGTAGAATGCCACTGAAGGATAAGCACCCACAAAAAGTATAAATAATGAACCACTCTTCACTTAATAAAAAATATCTTTGTTCAGTCTTGTTATTTTCTATTTGTCTGAATAATACATAAAGAGTTCATTTGTGCCAAAATGATATTTTGAAAATCTTGATAGAAGATAATCAAACCAGCAGGAATCTTAGGAATAACATTTGACAGGTTAAACTATATAACCATTATATTAGTGGATGCAATAAATGTCCATAATATTATACTTACAGTATCCAAATCTTCATCTGTCATACAAAGGCCAGCTTTGATTGCTTTCCAGTCCATATTGGAATCAACCTGCTTTTTGATCCACAACTTAATAGCAGGGGGAAGTCTTGAAGAGACCATATCAGATAACTCCAAGGGATTATGGTTGATATGCTTCTAAATGTACATGACTTCAACATTGCCATTATAGAGAATGGTCTTAGTAAGCTTAGCAGTACAACCAACTTTAATACTCTCTTTTGTTTTTCTTTGTTTTTTCAAAGGTGGTTTGTTAGAAAAAGTTTTTCTCTTGTAAGTACCAGCATGATCACATATATAGTATGTTTTTTCTTTTGGTAGCTTAATCATAGCTATACTACTCTCAGGAAGACCTTCCATGAACTTGAAATTAGAACCAGAATAGTGAGTGGTTCTAATTGTCCAACTAGCATGGTGAGCTGTGACATTCTTGAACCAGATTTGAAAATCTAACTTGGTATCAAAATAAATGTTGACAATCTCTTCATGTTAATTGGGCAATAGTCTTTGCAAGTAAAAATCAGATGGCATGTCTAAATTGGTTGTTGTCATTATTTGTTTAAAATTAGTGATGCACAAAATAAAGGTTTTGAATATTGATTCAAAAAATTAAGTTTTTCCTTAAATTTTTAATTATTTGTGACTGGCCTTTTTTTGGATAAATAGGTATTTTGCAAAAAAAACTATGAATGTATAATTCATCTAAAAGATAATTAATTAAGCCCAATGGGGGGGGGGTCGAACCCCCAACCTTGAGATTAAGAGTCTCACGCTCTACCGATTGAGCTAGCCGGGCGGGATGTTTATCTTGGCCTAGTTGGTATTAAGATCTGCTGCATTGAAGAGGTTGCAGGTTCAAATCCCAGGGAAGAACAATTTCTGCTCTAAAACAGGCATCCCAGCCCCTACTAATTTTCTGGCAAGGTGGGTGACTGCCTTTGGTTTTGCAGTCTTGGCTGGCAGTTTTGACCATGCATCCTGTCCTTTTCCCTCCCATGCAGGCACTGCCTTGCAGTCCTTATATTCATATATGCCCAAAAAGGGTTTAATGCCATTTTCTTTCTGGTGTGGTTCCTGGTTTGGCTGGTCTAGTCTTGGGGTGCTGGCAGGTGGAAGGATGCCCTCATGGGCTTAATTAAGCAATCTTTCCTATCTTTCAAATAAGTCTTAGTCTTAGTAATTTGTCTGTATTTCAATTCCTTTCCTTTCATTCTATGTTCCTATCCTTATATGTAAAATATTCTTCCCTAATATGTCTGTCAGAGTTACTATACTATTTCTAGCTTGTGAAAAATACTCCTAAAAATAAAAAATCTTTAACCTGAGCTAGCCAGGCATCTCTCTTTTTGTCGGTTGCCAATTTGGACAGGATAATACTAAGCCCAAAAGTAGAGACAGCAATAAGAGGAAACTGTGGATAACAAGGTCTGGACTGAAGCCCATGTAGATCAAAGAAGAATAGGTAAAGAGAGGATAGAAGATCCTTTTTATTCATTCAAAATAGTTGCTTATTTATACTAATTTACATATGATACAATTGACTAAGTACATCTTGTCTTCAGTCTACTCAGGGTGAGTGTGACTTCATCCAAGACATACTGTTTGTTTGATTATTTAATAAACCCAAAAGAAGTAATCCATTTGAGTCCAATAAGGAAAAGTGTGCTGGCCAATGGAATCATAGCATTTAGTATATTGGTGACAAAAGAAAGATTCCACATTGGTCTAGGTTAAAGATTTTGTTTATTAGAGATATGCCACAGCTTTGTCAAGCATTGTGATCTCTTCAGATAATATATGAGTAAAGGATAGTAAAAACATCTTAATGAGCAGATAATCAAAGATGAAAAGAAAATGTGATAAGAAAATAAAAAACCAAAATCTACTAACTAACAATATGACTCAGAAGTCTACCCACCAGCATGCACTAAAATGTTGTGGCAGTGGGGGAGAGCAACTAGGAGACACAACACCAGTCTTCAATCAAGAACAGCAGGCTGGACACCAGAGGCAAGCCAGAGAGAACCAGGGGAAGAAGCTTCTGAAAAGAAATGGTCTGGGTAGGAGAGAGTCTCTATATACCACAAAAGAGTAAGTAGGGAAGGCCACCAAGGGGGACAGTGTTTTTTGGGCCTCACAGGCAACAAGTTCAGGCAGGCATCTATGGGGTGAACCCCAGCAGGACAGACAGGCAGATCATCCCAAAGGGACTCTGGGATGCATGGACACTCACAGAGATGGCAACAGGAAGTGTGGTCACAGCCACAAGAACACTCAACTGGCACACCAGGCAGCCAGCCAAGATGCCAACAAACAAGACAGCTTCTCTCTGCTCTTGTGGCAGGGAGAAAGAGAACTGGGTCAACCTCTAGCAAGGGATGGCACCATTGGATAAGCACCTGAGAGGTAGTATGAATGAACTGGTCAAACAGGGACTGGCAGAAGGAGTGGAAGAAGGACTTGAGCTTGCTGTCCTTATCAGGAACAGGACTGGGAAGAGCAAGGTAGAGAGGATTTTGTGTGATAAATGAGGACATGTGGAAGACAGAGACAGACAAGGACAGGAGAACCAGGAGACAGGATGAAGGAAGAGACTGGAAATGTAGAGCAAAGCAAGTTGCCAAGACATTCACTCTATGCTTCATTGAAGGAATGTTAGTAATGTGCCTAAGCACTGTAGTAGATGATGTGGGGTGACCCCCAACCAGCAGACAAAGACACCAATCTTGTAACTGCTCCAGAGCTTTGTGGTCTTGAGCCTTCAGAAATGAGATGGCTAGGCCATACTCAAACTTGGGGTGCACAAAGGTGGAGTAGATTCTTGAGCACAGGAGGAGAGAGAAGCCAGAACAACTGACACCAATCAGACTGAGAATGCCCATGACCTTGGCAACACCAGGAGACCAAGAAGACACCAGAGATGAAGCAATCAAACCTTTCTTACCAAAAGGCAAACCTAGATAAGTCACCTCATCAGCCTAAGGGAGAGGAGCACCATACAGAGACAGAGTATAACCACGAGCAGTTGATGACAATGGAGATGGATGATTGAGGACCACACACTTGGAGGGGTTTCACCTGAACCCTAGAGCATATGAGTTTGTTCAGCAAGAGCCAGCATGACTTGTACTGACTCCTTTGTACCAAAGATAGCTACATCATCTGCAAAAAGCAGAGAATTCACTACCACAGGCACAGAACCAAAAGAAGCACCAGGACCAGGACCAGAGGAAGTACCAGGAGACACCAGAAAATGGACAGAGTGAGAGTTATCACCAGCACCAGGAAATGAATAGAGAACACCCGGAAGTGAGTTGATGTACACTGTGTACAACTGAGGACTGAGAACAGAACCCTGAAGTATACCAGTGACAGGGGAAAAGGGGAAGGAGGAGTGGTTAGATATCAACACAGAAATAGTTACCATGTCAAATAGATGTGAAATGAATGACAGGAATGGGGGAGGAGTACCAGCAGCAGACAAAGCTTGCCAGACAATGTTATGGTCAACCTTGTCATAGGCAGAGGAGATGTCCAGCAAAGCAACAACAGGATAATGATGGTGACACATGAAATGAGCATTCATCAGCTTATGCAGACACAATGCTTGATCCAAGGGACCATGACAAGGACAAAACCTACCCTGAGCCAGATCAGGAACAGGAGAGAGCTGAGAGAGTGAAGGTGCCAGACAGAACTCCAACAGCTTACAGACCACAGAAGTCAGGGAAATAGGATGGTAGTTGCTTGGTAGTGCTGAGTCACCCTTCTTGAAAATGGGGAAGACTGCAGCATGGCGCCATAATGAAGGAGTGTAGGACCATTGCCAGCATAATCAAAACATAAGGGAAAGGAGTAGGGAAACAATGGGGATAATAGGCTTCAGCATCTCAGCCTTCAAGTGATCAGAGCCAGGTGATTTTCTGTTGGGTAATAGCTTGATACACTGGCTAATCATAGCAGTAGAGAACATAGTGCTGAAGGTACCAGAGGGACATAGGGGGTGGGGGAGGATACATAGGTAGGAGAGGTGCTTGAAGGAGAGTCAGGGGAGGGAAAGGGAATAAGGGGAGCATAGGGACCAGGAGGGGAAGGACAGGACAAAGGAAGGATATCTCCACTATACACCTGTGCAAGATGAGAAGCCATTACCTCTACTGTCTTGGATGGACCATCAGCATGGGAAAAGGAGAGTGAGGACTGGTGACGTTTCTTGAGCTGCTTCACCTTGGCTGTTGCCTTGGCAAAGTTTGTCTCCAGAGACCTGAAAAAGTTCTGCCATGACTGGCATTTGGCTGCCTGGACATCAGACCTGAATCTGGCATATGCTTGCTTGTGTTGGGTCCACCAGTGCACCTTGTCTATGCCTGTTGCATACTGCCACCACCTGTAGCAACGTTCCCTGTTTTCAGCAGCTTGTTGGAGAGCAGGTCTCCAGTACTTCTTCCAGTGGGAGGGGCAAGACCTTTTTTGTTTCCAGAGCAGTGTCCAAGGATGCATAGATGCACTCATTGAGCTGATCATTGAGATTGTCAATGGGTGGGCATGATGAAGGAGGGGAGGTGACAAGGGAGTGGAAATGAGTGGAAAGGGGGGAGGAAAGAGTGGTAAAGGTGTTGGCATAGAGGTCACATGGATCCTGTTCTTTCAAACATGCTAGATTCCAGAGGCGCCTTGGGTGGATGGTTGAAGAAGAAGGGGAAGAAGATGAACAAGAAGGCAAGGACATATCATAAGAAAAAGAAAGTGACATAAGATGATGATCAGACCCAAGGGAAAAATCACTGTTGATGTGCATAGAAGGGGCAGACATATCAAAGTTGCATAAGAATAGGTCAAGGATACTTGAGCATGTGCATTGCTGCTGGAAACCATGCCAAGTAGCAATGCCATAAGAAAGAGAAGAGTTCAACACAGACAGGGACCATTCTTCAAACCATGGGACCATGGCAGTGCCACAGGGAGACATCACTGAATTACCAGTAATGTCACCCAGTCTTGCATTGAAGTCACCACACAGGATGGTATTGGGGTAGATGGGGAGGGAGGAAAGAATGGACATAAGATAAGAACATGAGAGGGAGGGAGGGAGGTAGAGGCATAGGAAACAAAGTGGTCCCACTTTCAATGAAAGGGTATACTTGTTTGAAGAAGGGAGTTGGTGGACAAGGTAAGAAAAGGAAGGAGAGACCAGAGCAGAGACACCCATGGAGCCACAGTAGGAGGAGACCACAGGAGAGCCATACAAATGGAACTGCTCCCAGTCAGTGGGAAGACAAGCAGGAGAGAGAAGCCATGTTTCTGTGATAAAAAGGAGAGTAGTGGGGGGACAGTGGGATAGAGCATCATGCACAGTGGTTGCCCTAAGACCATTGGCATTCCAAAGACTTACATTGATTGTATCACTTATAAAGAGGGACTTTCTGAGGATGAGACAGACAGAGCTTCATGGTCCATATCATAGTCATCCAGATCTCTCTGGAAGCCATTGGCTGGGTGGTCATGATCATGGAGGTGAGGATGTGCAGGCTGCTGCTTGAGGAACTCCTCATAGTCTTCAGGCTGCATCCAGCCAAAGGAAACAAAAGAGCGGAGGACAGGGGAAACCAGGGTGTACTTCATGTGCACTAGGGCATGACAGCAATGTTGGAGGTGGATCATGTGGGCATGGTTGGCCAGCTCACTATCAGAACATGTCTCAAACCTGGGGTCTGCCAGGTGTTCAGGACTCATGGGATCAAAGTTATCCAGGATCTTGACCTGGACCTTCTCCAGGAGTTCACAGATGTTGAAGGC